ATCCTTCAAAAGCGATTGCAACATGGAAGAAGCCTCCAAATGCGAAACATTTAAGGAGTCCGAAGGAAGAGGGGATCGTCGTTCCAACCGCATATCAGTGAGTTTGTTTTTTTTTCCAGTTGAGAAAGTTTTTCCATATTCGTCAATTTTTTACGACTTTGACACTTTTGACAAACATTTAAAAAACCACCTCAATGAAGTCATTTTGCATGCCAACCTTCTTTGCATCTTCAAACCATCTATCAAGCTAAGTGTGCAGATTCGAAGTGCGGATTTTGGGTGTCGTGATCATCGGGCATCACAATGCCCCGCGAAGGATTTTGTGGTTGTGATGCGCGCAAACATCTCTTTTGCATCCACTGCATTGAGATTGCGAACACGAGTCACGAACATCTGCACGTCCAGTGACCCATGCACAAAACGGAAGAGATGCAAGTGGATCGTCAGGAAGCGCATTCAACGCTCTTATGATTTGAGTTCCCGTTTCATCAACAACAAGTTGTCGTCACGCTTTATTATTAGCCGAGGTAAGCTCCAACACTTCGGGGGAACCTAAAAAATTAGTTTTCGCACCACAACTTTTTTTTTCTTGAATGTAGATTCAACACAGTCTTCTTTCGAATCGCGTGTAACATTATCATCATCATCTCAACAAATGTAAGGTTAATAGGCCTACTAGACGGACCTCTATGTGAACCATCCCCATGAACACGACAATCATCACCACCCCCCTCCACAACCATGTTCTCATCATCAGCAAGGGTATTCCCTTGCAAACATCCACGTTCAACTTCACAAAAAATAGTATGATCGCCCCGAGCATGTTCAATTCCAAGATTCATCGATCTCTCATCATTTTCAGTTTTCTTCGACCTCTCCGAATGTTCGGCTCCAACTTTTGACATAACATTCGGATCATATTGAATGGTATTGCTGGTTCTCATTGTTTTCCTCTTAGCACGAGTGTCGTAGGCATGGCGCATTCGGGAGTCGCCGACGAAGAAAGAATAAGACGAAATTAATCGGAATGCCAAGGATCGATTAAAAAAAAAACAGAACAACTCATCCCAAAATTTCATGATATATAATATTCGTCTTTAATTTTTTTTTATCAGGCAACGCACACGGATGTTGTTGGGATGACCAATACGTGACAAAGCAACGTACAGTTGGTCATGCGCAAAAACCGGCTTGTGTAGCCAAACCCCCGCACGTGGTACAGTTTGTCCTTGCGACTTGTTAATCGTTACAGCAAAAGCAAGACAGACTGAAAATTGTCTCCTAAACTATTTGAACCCAGTGGTCTCACCATGGCTTGTCAGATCAATCTTGGGAATTAGTGTTGTCTTACCCGTGCGCATTATTGTCACTTCCAACAAATCATCATTAACGACCTTCTTCAGAATCAACCTTGTACGGTTGCAAAGTCCTTGTTTCGGGGACAAATTTCGCAAAAGCATCACGGACGCACAAATTTTCAATCGTAGCTTGTGAGGTGGAAGGCCTGATTCATTGAGAGAGTTTTTAAAAAACTCTCTCTCAATATCGAGTTCGGTATCATCCGAATTAGGATAATCAACGCTGAAAAACTCACACACCTCCACAGGGAAATTGTCAAGAACACGGTTGTTAACAGAACCTGCATCGTCATTAGTAGGGCATAAAATTAATTGAGGCGAAAAATACTCGGCATCCCCCACGTAGTTGGACACATCCTCAAATGTCCATGAAGTCAACTCATCAATCGGTTTATCCGTACAAATCTCACTAGGCGATTTGACTGCAGCAAGTTCATTAGGAACAACACGAGGATGATCACCATTCGCTACATGCATCAAAAAGTGGGCATACATTCGTGTCATTTCATCATTGCCTGAGCTTAAGATTCACATATTTTCGGTCTATTGATGAACCTCAAAATGTTTTCACAAAGGAGACATTTTCATCCACTCATCAATTTGTTGTGCTCGCGATCCATGTTTCACAACGGACAAAATCTGTCAAAAATCATCAGCAAGAAGTAGATCTTTCTCACCAAACGGCTTGTCATTGTTACAGAGGTCCCGACTCCCGGAGCGTAATGTCAAGAGCTTCCAAGTGGAACTTGTGACTCATCGGAGCCTCGTCCCAGACAATCAAGTCTGCATGGCGGATACACTCCACAAGATCACTTTGTTTCGAAATTAAGAAGGGACGAGTGCTATCAAGTTTCAAAGGTGTGCGAAATCGTGAGTGAAACGTTCGACCCCCTCTCAAAAGAGTCACCGCTATCCCACTGGACGCCACAGCCAGTCCAATGGCAGAACGGAACCTAATGCCCGTCAAAATCGTTCAAATGCAAAAAGTATTTCCTAATCCGGTCGGTGCATCGACAAGAGCACGCAATGATCTTTTCTCTTGCACAACCCGAACAACTCTTTCCATCAACACTCGTTGGCGTGAGTGAAGACGTCGGAAATTAGAGTCATATCTGCGTTGCATTTGAATCGAATTATATGACAACTCCTCGTTTAGAATCGACGATATCGTTCTGTTTTCGTAATGTCTAGTTATATTCTTAACAATTGTTTCCCCATCGGGTGTTGGATAATAAAGGTGGAACTGACAGATGTTTTTTTCAGACTCTTGCAAGATACGGTTAAGATGAAATAAGACGAACCATTGCAAAATGTTCGGTGGAACAATTTCATTATTTGCACGATACTGAAAATAGTCACACATCTTATCCCAATGTAGTTCTAAGAAACAGACCGGATCGTTCGCTGGACTAACGGCGAGAACCATAGCAAACACTTTACGAACTTCTTTAGGTATGTAATGCGTTCCGGCTGTGTCTATGCATTGATCGTATGCATCGTCGGTTTGCAAAAGGCCCAATCGAAGACACACAGATCGGAAAGAATCGCATTTGACTCCATCCACCGTACGAATTGCCGCAAAAAAGCACACCCCACGAGAATGATTATGGCTTAGCAACACACGCAGATAAAATCGTTCGTCTTCCGTGATCCTCACATGATGCAATCGAGATATTTTTTCGAAGGGACCACCGTGAAGACCCCGCTTTCTTCGATTCCACTTCTTGTGTTTGTTATCCCACACATGAATATTAACGATCTGTGCATACAAAGGAAGCTCCTCTCTAAGAACATGTTATTTCAAAGAGTTGTGTTTCATCCATGCCGTCAGTTTTGTTTTCGGGGACCCATGGGAAACAACGTCATGCTCAGTGCCAAGTTCGAATTGCACTTTTTGCATGTTTTCCATATGCACGGGCAATCTTTCGACTGAGGGTCATTGTTCCGCAAGGTTGAACTCAAATAGACGCCAGCATGCCTTGTATGAACCCACAACACACATATCTTGAGACAATTTCATCGATAGGTGCATTACCATCTTGCTTGCAAACCATAGCACGATCACACCCTTTGCACACGTAATTGCATGCCTTGATGTTAGCACAATATTCAATATTCAAGTGACAATTAAACCTCATTGGCAAGTACAGGTTATACGGGACCACACGACGATTATTGTAAACGACACCTTTGTGAACAATCGTAAAACCACCGTCATTTGTTTTTCTTCTTCTATACGAAGCGTATGCTTGTTTGTCTTTGAATATTGTTGTCAAAATGAAGTCTTTTGAAAACCCTTTTGTGCATTCTCCGTCCTCCATACACGAAGGGTCACGTTTCTTCGCACCGCAAATCCCGTGCAACATGAACTTGACAACCCTTTCTCTCAATTCCCCTTCCGGAGGAATCTCGACACACACCACATTGTCAAGAACATCCGCATCCCGAAGTTTATCACCCGAATGCAAGATAACTAATATATGTGCGTGTGGTAGACCGCTTTTTTGAAACTCCACCACATATAGCATTCCACTCACCCTACCAAAGATTCGTTTGTTTTTCATGCAAGATAACCTTTGAACACTCTCGCGAGAAGATTTGGCCTCTTGTTAGGACATTGACCTGGCAACAAGGCTTGTTTGATCTTCGACTAGTTGATGTTGCACGTCATAGTGATGGAAAGATCCGGTTTTCTGAATCGCCATAGTACTCTTTGGCATTAGTCCTGGCGGCCATCCAGCTTCCGAGGCACGTCGGACAGACCAACTATCAATTCCCTCTGGGAAAAGCAAAACAAACCTTAAACAGTCGTGCGCTCAAAAACATTCCGGAACCATAACCGTCTGCCGGTCACCCGGAAGAGGAGCACGCAAACGAATCTCGAGCTCACGGGGAAGAAGTTCATCGGCCATCAGAATGCACACCTCATGGAGACCCATAGGACGGTTGTAACGCCTTGCATGTTCCTCCTCTGGCATGGCATCCGGATTTATGACCAACTTCCTCCTATTCAACGCTTCCCGCGGAAGGTCAGCAACCGTCATAAAGTCCTTCACGTAATTGTTACATTGTTGTAGCAATTCCTGAAACCTTCTCAATATGAGTTTCATTCGATTCACTTCGGCACCGGATGTACGTGCAGGTAAGTTAAGGAAATCCACACTCTGATCAATCGCATCGTCCAAACGTTGAGGATCGTGCAAGTAAAGTTGCGCAAATTGAGGACGTCCCCCTCCCCCCACAGTCAATGCACCGACACGATGAAAGATTGGAACTTGAGCCCGAAGTTTGACCCTGGAATCCTTGAACACCATCGCTAGGTTACTTGAAGTGCGCGAATGCGGGCGATTAATTATTATTAATTAACCTCGCATTGTTTCGACAGAATCGACCATCGGAAGTTTGAGACGTCCAAAGGGAAAGAATCTCATACTCCGGGGAACCTTCTCAAGGCCACTCCCATAAAGGAGTTGTTGTTGCTTCGCGGCTGGACAGCGGCCCCCTGATCTCCCTCACGTGATGCTGGGGTGGTTGTCGGGTCTTCCACAATGTTGTCTGGTTGGACTGTAGTGACTTGCTGTGACTTGCTGTGGACACGGACCAAATTTTCCTTTTTCAACATGGGCTGGCTGCCACGCTAACTTCTCGTGTGCAACAGTCCGGTTGGTCTTGATGATCTCTCGCGCCTTGTTGATGATTTCGACGAAGGTTATGTACAGCTCGCGATCACCGAGTGGGAGGCTCAAGGCGACACACAACACGTTGTAGAACTCTCGGTGCAGATGCGGAAATGGCAAGTCAAGATCGGGTGTCGCCACGATCTTTTGCCACTTTGTGAGCCAGTCACGTGTTGGTGTGTTGCCTTGAGTCATGCTGAAGAGGCGGTTGATGGCTAGCGCCGCGGCGTCGTCAACGATGGATCGCTTCTTCCATTGTCTCGTCTGATCTTCCCAAGAGATCTCCTTGTGTAGATCGGCGACCTGGACTCCGTGGGTGGTTGCTAGGTGGCTGAGCCAGATCTGGCATCCACCCTTTGAGTTGAGGAACAACACCCTGATGTACGAGTGCTCGGGGATGTGAGGAATCCTCAGTTCCGTCATAAAGCCCTGCCACCGAGGGACCGGGTCTTGATGCGTATAATCATCAAACTTTTCGATCCGGAATGTCGGCATCTTGTACTGCTGCGCACTGGTGTTGCCATCCTTGTCGGGCAGTTGTTGCAGTTGTCGAACCTCGGTCTTCAAGGTGTCCAGCTGCTCGCTGATGGTGGCTGGTGCAGTGAAGGTGCTGATGTCGCCGAGCATTGCGAGTACATGGTCAACTCGTTCCTCCAATTGGCGGGTTGAGGCTGCACTGCTGGGTTCGCTAGCATCTGGTCCTGGCACTACTTGCTCCAAGTCCTGTACACAGGAATTGAGTGCCCGTGTAGCATTGTGACATACTGCGCAACCTTCGGGCCCGACCGGACGGAAAATAAGGGCCCTCCAGGCCCTATGTCGTTTCAGCCTAAAAGCCTGAAAACAAGGGCCATTTTCAGGCCCTCATAAAGACAACGTGCCCTGAAACTCGGGCGCCAGACCAGGGTTTAGCACAAGCCATTTTTGGGCCTGTTTCAAGACAACCTTTGTTTGAACTTCAACACCAGGGTCTGGCACGTTTCGGCATTGGCAAGAGCAGCCTCCCGGATGGGCCAGCACTAGATAGAACTAGCCCGCCCTGCAGGCGCAGGTAGCTGATAGGGACTTCCCAAGCAGTTCACGGGCACTTCACGTGTGAGAGGCCGGGGGCAGTCTTCGAGATTCGGCAGCAACACTCTGGAGGAGCGCTGCAATAGTAGTAGTAGCGTTAGGAGTAGTCGTCAACTCCATCCGAGGGCCACGATGACACAACACCGGAAGAGCAGCACAAGGAGTTCCTCTCCAAAATTGTGACCCAGTTGGTTTACACTTGTAACCACCTGCAGTCCGAGTGAGAGAAACAACACCAGGAACTGATGAATCTCCGACGGGCAGTGCAGAACCACAAGGATCGGCACGAGGATGCCACACGGGCATTCAATTCCCGTGTTCAGCACTTGGAGCACGTGGCACCAGGATCAGATGCTGGTGAACCCAGCAGTGCAGCCTCAACCCGCCAATTGGAGGAACGAGTTGACCATGTAGTCGCAATGCTCGGCAACATCAGCACCTTTACTGCCCCAGCCACCATCAGCGAGCAGCTGGACACCTTGAAGACCGAGGTTCGGCAACTCACCAGCTGCCCGACAAGGATGGCAACACCAGTGCGCAGCAGTACAAGATGCCGACATTCAGGATCGAAAAGTTTGATGATTATATGCATCAAGACCCGGTCCCCTGGTGGCAGGGCTTTACGACGGAACTGCAGATTCCTCACGTCTCCGAGCACTCGTACATCGGGGTGTTGTTCCTCAACTCAAAGGGCGGACGCCAGATCTGGCTCAGCCACCTGGCAACCACCGACGGAGTCCAGGTCGACGATCTACACAAGAAGATCTCTTGGGAAGATCCGACGAGACAATGGAAGAAGCGGTTCATCGTTGACGATGCCGCGATGCTCGCCATCAACAGCCTCTTCAGCATGACTCAAGGCAACTCACCAACACGTGACTGGCTCACGGAGTGGCAAAAGATCGTGGCGACACCCGATCTTGACTTGCCATTTCCGCATCTGCGCCGGGAGTTCTACAACCAGTCGTGTGTCGCCTTGAGCCTCCCACTCCCGCGAGCAGTATACCACAACCTTCGTCGAAATCATCGACAAGGCGTGAGAGATCATCAAGACCAACCGGACTGCTGCACACGAGAAGTCAGCGTGGCAACCAACCCATGTGGAGAAAGGAAAATTTGGTCCGCGCCCGCAGCAAGTCGCTGCAGTCCAACCAGACAACATTGTGGAAGACCCGGCAGCCACCTCAGCATCACCTGAGGGAGATCAGGTGGCCGCTGTCCAGCCGTGAAGCAACAACAACTCCCGTGGAAAAGGGAAGGCGAAAACCGCATCGCCGACCGAAATTGGACAGCTCGTACCATGGGTCAAGTTCAACTTGACCGAGGCCGAATACAAGTATCGCAGCCGATACGGTTGCTGCTATTGGTGCAACAACACCAAACACAAGACCTCCCACTGCCAGGATCAAGGCAAGGAGGATGTTCAACCTCGAATCAGCTCGGGAAACTGAGTTGCACGGGAGGTGAGGCGACTCCACCTCTCACTCCGCTAGATTCGGCCGCCTTTCTAGCAGCCTCCTACACATTTGGGGAGAATGCGGATGTCGCGAGTCCTCGGTTCACTTACAAGGATTACGCTGTCCACTTGGTCCCAACGTTGGACCAACCACTCCACGTGCAACAATCCACCGCAGGCACGATTTCACCACCATTGGCAACTGATTTGGCAGCTTCGCCGCCAACTTTCAGCGGGGATTCGACGTCATGGTCAAGACTCGAGAGACTCGACCCGTTGACGTTCGCGGACTTCCAATGGATGTCCCTTCCCCTGACCGGTCGATTGCCGAAACCGCATTGCAACGTGCTCATGGCACAATTGCAGGATTACTTGCGCACTGCAGTACCAGCTCCGTTGATGGATGCCGGAGTAGAGGTTGTCGACCTTCACGACTACGTTGTGAAGATCGACCACGAGTTCAAGACACAATGGTACGACGACATCGACGCGCCATTGTTGTACATATGCATTCAGATCGGAGAGTCGACGCTTTGATCGACTGTGGAGCTACTCGCAACTATATGAGCCAAGACTTTATGGTACGCGTTGGCCTTGGGTCATGCGTTCGGAGGAAGTCGCAGCCCACGCAAGTCACGTTGGCCGACGGTCACACGTCCAAGTCAATCGACCGGTGCATTGATTCCGTCCCCGTGTACTTTGGCCCCCATGCAAGCGAGGCCGTGTCCTTCGACATTTTGGACACCCTGTTCGACATGATTTTGGGTATGTCATGGCTGCAAAGCGAATATCACCCAGTGATCTTCTATCGCCGCACCGTTCACGTTCGTGATCGGAATGGAGTACTAGTCCCATGCACGGTGCCTCCTCCCCACCCTTCGATCAACTGCCATGTGGTGTCCTCCGCAAGCGTTCGAGCTTCCATCACCAGGGATAACATCGAGGAGATGGGGGTGTGTTTTCTCCACGCCCTCCCTCCCCATGACATCCCATCGACGAATGCATCACCGGACCCACGCATCACCGAGCTTCTCGACGCTTACGACGACGTGTTCGAAGCCCTGCACGGAGTAGTACCGGATCGGCCCATCCGCCACGAGATCATCCTCGAGGTCGGGGTCATACCTCTGCATGGTTGCCTTTACCGCATGAGCGAGGAAGAGTTAAGCGTGCTACGGGCACAACTCGACGACCTTCTTGAGAAAAGCCGGATTCGGCCTAGCTCTTCGCCATACGGTGCTCCCGTTCTCTTCATCCGAAAGAAGAACAAGGACTTGTGGTTGTACATTGATTATCGCAAGCTCAACGTGCAAACAGTCAAGAACGTCGGCCCTCTCCCGCGCATCGACGACCTTCTCGAACGGCTGGGCGGCGCTAAGTTCTTCTCCAAGCTTGACCTCAAATCGAGATATCATCAACTTGAGATCCAGCAGGAAGACCACTACAAGACCGCGTTCAAGATGCCATATGGGCATTTCGAATGGCTGGTCATGCCATTTGGCCTTACGAATGCCCACGTTCCAAGCGGCTATGACAACGGAGTCCCGACACATGCTGGATATATTTGTACTCATCTACCTTGATGATATCTTGGTGTACAGCCAGAGTTTGGACGAGTATGTGGAGCACATGCACACCGTTTTGGAACAGCTACAACAAGCCAAGTACAAAGCCAACCGCGACAAATGCAAATTCGCGAGGCAAGAGCTCGAGTACTTGGGCCATTTTGTGATGCCGCAAGGCATCCGTCCGCTCGCGGACAAGATTGAGGCCATCCGAGAATGGCCTGAGCCCACCAACACCACAAAAGTTTGTTCATTCATGGGGTTGGCAGGCTACTATCAATGCTTCATCATCGGGTACTCAAGGATTGCCGCACCATTGACGAGATTACAGTCGCCGAAGGTGCCATTCGTATTCGATGACAACGTGCGCCGGTCATTCCAAGCACTCAAGACGGCCGTGCTCATGGCACCCGTCCTTAGCATCTACGACCCCACTTTGCCAACGAGAGTGACAACTAACGCTTCTGGCTATGGCATTGGGGCAGTCTTGGAACAACACGACGGCGACGACTGACACCACGTGGAGTATTTTAGCCACAAGGTGCCCCCCATCAACTTACTCGATGATGCAAGGAAGAAGGAGCTGCTCCCATTCGTGATGGCTCTCAAGCGCTGGCGACACTTCCTCCTTGGGCGTCGTAGGTTCACATGGGTCACTGACAACAACCCGTTGACCTACTACAAGATGCAGGATACGGTGAGCAACACGATTGGACGATGGATGTACTTCATCAACCAATTTGACTTCACACCGAAACATCTCGTCGGCCTCTCCAATCGCGCAACAAATGCACTCTCGCGAAGATCCGGCCTTTGCGCTATGACACATCATGCCTTCGCGTTCGATGAGGAACTTCAGCGGCATTTCATTCGGGGCTACCAGTCCGATCCAGATTTTGCCATGCTATATGTGCAACTATTCTTGGATCACTCGCCGACCAGCCATTATCGCATCACGACGGGTACTTGCTTCTCCTCTCGTGAGGCAAGGACTTATTGTGTGTCCCACGAGACCGTCGTCTTCGGACTCGCCTTCTCGACGAGTACCACGACTCGCGACTCTCCGACCATTTCGGAGTCAATCAGACTATTGCACGACTTCGACAATGATTCCGGTGGCCCGACCTCATTACCGATGTCACTCGGTAGTGCGACTCTTGCGAAGTTTGCCGACGAAGCTAGCCCCTCAACCGCAATCCCTACGGCGAGTTGCGCTCGTGGCCTATTCCATGAAAACCAGGCCTCTCCATCGCCTTGGACGTCACTGGCCCGTTTCCCCACGATCGCTTTGGGCATGACGGCATCCTCACAGTCGTTGACCGATTGAGTTAGTACGCGCGATTTCTCCCTTGCAAGTACTACACCACGGCTCCCGAACTTGCGTGCCTTTTGCACACTGGTTGGATTTGCAGCCACGGTGTACTGGAAGACATCGTTAGAGACCTCGACACTCGTTTCATGTCAGCATTCTGGACTTCTCTCATGCAGGAATCCGGCACCAAGATGAAACCAAGTCCGTCTCGGCATCCACAAACGGACGGGCAAACGGAGAGAGCACATCAGACTGCTCAGATGATGCTTCATACGCTTATCCGTCCGAATCGGAAGGATTGGGTTGACCGCCTCCCCGACATCGAGTTCGACTACAACACTTTGCTGCATCCGGCGATCGGCGTGACTCCATTCGAGTTGCACCACTGTGGCCGGAAAGGCCGTATCTTTGCTGATTTTCTCCTTCCATGAACTGCCGACATAGACGTCGCTTGCTCTCCCGCCTCCATCCGGAAGTACAGGGAATTGCTGGCTCAAGCCCGCGCGAACATGCAAAAGGCTCAAGTCCGCATGCAGCAGCAAGCCAACAGGCATTGCGTGCCATGGCCCATCAGCGTCAGTGATCTGGTTTGGATCTCCGAGGAAGAGTTTGCGCTCGAACAGGGACCATGGACCGTCCTTTCAGCCACAGGCGACGAGCCCGATGGCGCATCCTTTGTGATCGACATCCCTCCGCATCTGCCGGTCCATCCAGTCTTTCACACCTCGAAGTTGGCAACATACACACCAGCTAAGAGCGACGACTTCCCGGGCCGACAATTGCAAGACCCTCCGTCTATGGATGGTCATCAGGAAGTCGACCGCCTCATCACGGAATGCAAGTACGACAACAAGCCTCGACAGTACAAAGTTACCTTCAAAGCATGCGATCGTGATGACACTCAATGGATTCCAGGAACAGATTTGCAAGCATCTGCACCGCTGATCTACGCTCACTACGAACGACAAAGGTTAGCTAAGGACGCTTCACGACCGGCCCCTCCCAACCGGACTTTGGTCCCTCCCTCCGACRGMYRKCT